ATGGTGCAGATCACATATTGTGATAATCAATATCATTACTCATCAACCCAAAATCCATACTCTATACAACACTACATATATATAAGTCACCAATGTCTAATGGTAATAATATTTATCAAATCTAAGAATAAAATGGGAATTATCAAGTTTTCAAGAGTCACTAACACCATAGTACTAATAAATAAACCAACCATAATGCTTAGCATAATGTGATATGTGACATGTGACAATGTGACTCATTTATTTACTTAAAATTTTTATTACGTAGACACACTATTTGGAACCCCTCTGCATGTAACACCAGGTTCAGAACTAGGAGCAAGTAATTCATAAGGCAAAACACCAGCACCACAACGGTTCCTCAAAGTCTTATCGCGATTCCTACTCTCGATCACCTTCTCAATCTTTCCAATTTCAGCTGAAAATTCAAAAAACTTCTCAACAATCTCCGGATCACCGCTCCAAGTCGAAGGATGTTGTCTCTCGCCTATATACTCTTCGTCAATCGAATGAGTTGAAAGTGTATCAACAACAGCCATATACTTAGTAGCCTGCAACAAACTAGGCAATGCATTGAGAAAATACTTTTGTGGATCAGCAGTGAAGCTTCCGTATTCGGGGTCACTTTCTTCGGGGATCAATCTTCTCATCAACGGTGGACGATTTGGCACGTACCCTCCGTAAGGGTACTGTCCAAAGTTCAACGCAGCATGTTGCGCGGATGCGTTCCAGATTAGGATTGTTAGGACAGAGACAAGACTGTCGCTGTCGTTCAATTTCGGCCACCATGATTCGTCCTTTAAATCAGCATGGCCTACATTGACTGCTTCAGAATACCAAGTTTGTAACTCTCGATCATTGATTATTAGGCTTGGATTCGGGTAGTAATAGTTCACGTAGGTTCTGACCCAGTTTTCTATTGCTGACCAAATTAGAAGACCATCTTCTGCATAAGGGTAATCATTCATTATTAACCTTATCCCATGTGGTTTTGTTTGATCAGGTACTGCCATTCCCCTACATAGTGAAAAATCGAAAATCTTAGTTAGATTTATTTGTAATTTTGTTAAACCAAAAAAAAACAAACATCAATTGCTTGTTGAGAAAAATGTAGGGTCCTCATGCCTCCTAATCGTGCATTCAATCATTGGATCAAGATCAGACAGTTCAGTATACGAAATTTTACCTGCGGAGGAGATCTTGAGGGAGGCTATCCTTATCAAAACGCCAAAAGTTTTTGTAAGCAGCGGAACTAATCTCCATGGCATAGCGACCGGGAGTGAAGCAAGACTCAATGACGCCATCTGCATTGATCAAACTCTGACGAGCTAAAGCATTGATCTCCAAAGTGTATCTCATGTGTGGATCCAATAGCTTGAAAATTGGATGCATTGAACTTAGTTGCCTATGAGCAGACAATATAAATGGTTCCGTGCATGCGTGGGTGCGCAACCTATTTACAATTTACCAAAACACAACAAAACAATTTAAAACAATAATACATAAAAAGTGTGTCTGGTGTCTGACACGTTGAAATATCAGATGAAAAATGTGTCTGTGTCTAACATGTATCAGAGTTGAGATATTGCTTACCAATGGTTGGCGAGTTGGTGGACACCGGCATCATTGGAGCAAACATGGGCCTTGGCAAGCATCCACATCCAATTAGTAGTTGCATCTAGAGCAGGTGTAACTACACGTTTTGAACGTGTGTTTGGTCCAGATGGAGGCAAGCTGAGTTCAATAGCAACAGGTTTTAGAGTACCAAGAGGTGTCAAGTAATATATGGTTCTTGTGGCATATGATTTTCTACCGTCCAAAGCATTGATCCTTTCCAAAAAAGGAAGGTAGATATCATGATAATCAATTATGAACAGCTTGTTTTCATCAATTGCCTGCAAAATTCCAAAACAAAAAAGCAAGTGAGAGTTTATTTGCATCACTTCAATTTACTATGAAATGGGTGTGTGCTCATTTAATGAGTGTAGCATGAAAATCACTTCACAATATGGTTAGCAAAATCATGAATGAATTGATTGGTACCTGTTGGACCGTCATGCCATTAAGTTGATGTAAAATGTGTTCTTCTTTAAGAGCAGACTCTAATGGACCATAAATTTCAGGATCTAATTTACTAACTGGTGGAAACACTTCAAGTTTTTCAATGGTTACAGGGTTAACTCCTGCTATTGCTTGACGCCCAAATTCATCATCTCTCAACCAAGCAAACTTATCCTCTGCACATGACACCAACAATTTAACAATTAATTTAACAATATAATAACGAGACAAACACGTGAAACATTTTAAATTAGCAATTGAGTAATAGTACATCTTTTGAGATATTTTGGTTTCATATAATAATAACAAATTGGCCTAGTTGTAGTTTTATAAAGGATATATATAGAAAAGGTAATAATCTAAACATAAGATCTAGTTTTGAATGAAAAACTCATTTTTTTGGGTCAAATTCAAGTGACAAAGACTAAAAGCCAAATAACATGTTATAGTGTGGTCCTATATTGGCACTATCTTTTCTTTTTTTTTTGGTGATGCACTGTCTTTTCATATGGCATGCCATTATACATGTATTCATGACTAAAGACCCACCACCACATTGCAAATCAAAGTGGAAAAAAATGTGGAAATTTTCTTTGATGTGATTATGTACTATGAGTTCAGGCCCGTCTTTTATTGGACGTGTAAGACATACTAATGTACACTGACTTATAAATTGTCACAGTTAAATCGTGCATAAACGTGATTAAATAAAACTTTTATCATGACTAAATTATGACTAACCTACACAAAACCTTTAAAAATTTGAGACAAATTAACAAAAAAAAGAGCAAACTTACTTGATATAATCTTGGGAATGTCATACTTAAGAACACCCTGGCTAGTGGATTCTTTAATCTTGCCAACAATTTTAGGCAATGGAAATTTCTTCAAAACATCATCTTGCAAACCCAACTTAATGAGTAACCCTACACTATAAAGTCCATCAACATCTGAGAAGTCATTGAAATCTTGATTATCAGCAGAAAGACTTGATTTAAGGCCAGGCAACAAATTATGAAGAACTCCTTTTAGCCTCTTCACAGAAAATGTATTCTGCTTTAACTCCTCAAATCTTTCATCTCTTGGCACATACATAGGAAGTGGCTTCTCAACACGACTTTCAGCACTAATATCTAAGTCACCACAAAAAATAACTTAACATATTATCATAAATTTTTGCACATACATTCGATCATATTTTGTTATAGATATATTCTTTTACCTGTATCGGACGGTTCCCGACCGGTACGACACCGTCTAGGGTAGGGATACTTTTCGGAACCTCCGAGATTAGGTCTACAAAGATCAATTCCTTTGTCTGGGTTTCCCAAATCATTGTATGTGTCATAATCGTATATTCTATCAGATAATTTTCTAGCTCCTTTTCCATCACCTCTCAGATTTTTTAAGTCTTTCTCCCTCAAAACTTGAAGTCCAGCAGGTGTATCATCAGGTAAATAAGGCTGTTCAAATTAAAAATCACAATAAGTTCAACAAAATGTTAAAAATTATTTCATGAATAAAATATAAATAACCAATGTGAATTCAACATTATTATAACAAGGACTAGTATTAAATTCAACGGGGTCTCTGCTCAACTGCATAACATAGTTGGTAGGTCAATTCAATGGTGCTTGGTCCATGCATAAATCTGACTATATGATTTTCAATACAATAATAAAATAATAATAATAATAATAATAATAATAATAATAATAATAATAATAATAATAATAATAATAATAATAATAATAATAATAATAATAATAATAATAAATTCACCGACTATTTATTTGGTTCCAAAAACTATATAAATGAAATTTAATATTTTTTCTTGGAAAATGAACTTTGGCTCTATTATCCCTTTCAAGATTCATATAAAAGTTATCATTATTATTATTACTATAATTATTATTAATATTATTTTTCACGTTGAAAAAATGATACACAAAAATGAAAACAAATATTATTGACTTATTCTATTATTATTGGATATACTCTCTCTTTTTTTCCATCATGGCCCACGTGATTATAATAGTAAAAAAATACAAAATGAAATATTAAATAAAACATGAAACAAAAAGTAGTTGAAGAAATAATCAATTATATACCTTATTAGAAAAGAAAATTCTCTTTCCAGGAAGATCTTTTCTAGCTTGAACCCAAGAATTACAAGGAAAATAAACTGCTCCAGTAGCAAATCCTTCAATGGTTATATTCTCCAAGAAAAATTCTTTTTGATGATTATTTATCACAGTAATAGCACCAGGTTCTCCAAAATTTGAGTCAACTGTGAATTCAGCTATGTAATTAACTCTCTCAGCCTTAATATTTGTCTTCTTTGCCCAATCCTTAAGCACTGCTTCATTAGTCTTCTTTGGAGCATTTGTTTCTGCACATCACATATAAAAATTCGATTAAATTAGCCCAGTTTGTTGCCAGTTTATCCACTATTTTTGTATAATTTTGATTATACTATTAAGAAATTATTAAAATCTAATAAGATTATAAAAAATAAAAATAAAAGTCTTACTTGGATCAATCTCAGTGCTAAAAAGTTCAAGAACAATGTTTCTTCCGATTCTATCGGTTAAAGCATCGAGATGTTTCGTGATAGTTTCTTTGAAATCTTCTTTGATCTTGTTCCGAACGGTCACGACAGCTCTAACCTTGAATTTCACTGGTTTTTCAGAAGGGAGAGAAGATGAAGACGAGGATAGAGAAGAAGAAGAAGAGTTTTTCACCAAATCTTCACTGAGAGCAGCAACAGGAAACTTAGCAGATTTTTTCAGTTTCAAAACTCTTCTGTTTCCGAAAGGAACCAGAACAGGTTTGATCAAGAATCTACCATTTTTGTGTTGAAAACATGGTGAAGAAGAAGGGAATAGTGATCTCTCTACCAATGAAGAACCTAGGAATTCGTTTGTTAGGGCCATCAATCAATGGTTTCTTTGAGGTTTTTTTCTTCCTTCTTCTGAGGTTTTTTGTTTACTATGTTTGAGGATTTGAGGAAGGAAGAAAGTGAAACAGTGAAATATTAGTGGTCGTGTCGGTTTTAATGTTAGATGGCTTAGAATTGGTATTAAATATATAAAGAGAGAGAAACTGCACTTATGCATCAAAAATGAAAAGTAGATTAAGTAAAAGGTGGCGGAATATGAATCATGAATATCCTTCACCGTCCACACGTTTTTTTTCCCGCAGTTTATGTTTATGCAAATGTTTTTAGATTTAGTCAAAAATAAAATTTCTTTTTAATAGTTGACTAGTATTGTTTTATATATATTAAGTATAAATCTTATATTTTAATACACCTTTTATTAGCATCCTACTTCATTAGAGGTACATAGTAATTTAAATATATTGTATAAATTTTTAGGAGTATTTTAGAGGAACACTTAAAAAAATAAATATTTCTGAAATTTAAGAATTAGATTTGTCGGGCTGATAATCAATTATAGAATTTAGCGTAATCGATTAGTAGTAGCAATTTTCAATTCTATTTTCTGATTATCGAAAGTGTAATTGACTATGCTATTTTGCATAATTGATTACGAACTCGTATTTTGGATTTTTTTTAGTTTATTTTTAAGTTGTTTTGTTTCCCAATAATTTTGTTAACTTGTATAAATAACCCTGAAGTTGTAACATTAAAGTTTAATGTCATTTGTTACATCTTCTCTAATTACTATTTTTCTCCAATTGATTCACCAATTTAGTTTGTGTATATTCTAACATTTGACATCAAAAGTGTTCTGGACTGGGCCCGACAGACCCAAAAGCATTACTAAGGCCCAATCCAAAGGGACTTACTGAGGACCACGCCGAGCAAATGGGTCACATCCGTGCCCGACATCCTGATGTCCAGCTCGACATCCCGCTGTCCAAATCCACGTCCTGACGCCCAGCACGACACCCTGCTGTCCAGCTCGACGTCCTGGCGTCGAGCTCGGCACCCTGTTGTCCAGCTCGACGTGGTCTCGAGTAACCCAGCTAGGGCAGACTCAGTCCACCGTTCCCCCAACGATACTCCGGAAAGACCGCGTCTCCGTCCGCCCGCACTTCACGCAGAACATCCAGGAAGGGGACCACGTGCGGGTCCCCACTACCCACGTAGAACCTAGCAGTTCCTCCATTGGGCCAAATCCGCCCGGCCCAATGGAGGAACCTTGGCCCAGCGCTGGGGGCTATAAATACCCTCTGTTTCCAGAGGGTCAGGTATTCATCATTCTAACCTCAACTTCTATTATCTGCTCGTACTCCTACTTATTTCAGCATCGGAGTGTCTTGCAGGTACCCCCCCCCCCCCACCTCGTTCAAAAAAGCTTTCTGCTCGGAGCCAGCCGTGACGGTCCTTTTCTGATCAGGTCAGATCAAAAAGTCTTGGTTCTGATCTATTAATCCGCTGCAAAGATGACAATTATCTCCAACGATCGAGTCCTCACTAATCTTCCAACCCTTGATTTGAAGAACTACAATAAATGGTGCAAACAAATGAACATTTTGTTTGGGTATCAAAACGTTCTTGAGGTGATCAACAATGGAGTTATTCCACTTGAAGCAGAAGCTACAGGTGCTCAAAAGGATGCACACAAGGAAGAGAAGAAGAAATATTACAAGGCACTATTCTTGATTTATTCTTGTCTAGATGGTGATAACTTTGAAAAAGTTGGCGATTGCGATTCGGCGAAATAAGCATGAGAGATCTTGAAGAAAGCTTATGAAGGGGCTGATAAAGCAAAGGTGGTGACGTTACAAACTCATAAGCGATAATTCGAATTGGTTCAAATGGAAGAGAATGAGACAATCAACGATTAAGTAACATGTATTACACGTTTGGTGAATCAAATGAAGTCTTGCAGCGAAACCATTTCAGACAAGAATGTTGTATTGAAATTCTTGCCTTCTTTGGCAATCAAAGAGTCGAAGGATCTTCCGACATTGAGCAAGGAGGAGATTCAAAGCTCTCTTGAGGCTCGTGCATAAAGGATGGATGAAAGGGAAAATGACAAGGCTAAAGCGGAGATTGGGTTGCAAGCACGGTTCAACGAGAAGAGTAAAATATCAAAAGGAAAATGCCCTTTGAAAGGAAAAGCTAATTTCCAAAATTTTGGTGGAAAAGATTCACAAAATTCGAAGGTTCTAATGGGGAAAAAAGGTGATAGAATCTCCAAAGGTAGTGGTCAAAGAAACTACACCAAGAAGATTGATAAGAGTAATGTGAAGTGTTACAATTTCCATAGACTTGGTCATTTCGCAAGAGATTGCAATGCAAAATCAAGGGAAAATCAAAGCGATGACGCTAAGGTTTCTCGACAGGAGGTGGATGATGATAACATGCTTCTGGTCATGATCATATAGGAGAATTATGGCAGTAATAAGCTGCTAGACAGAAGCAGTAGAAGCTACAAGTTACTAGACATCAATTGCAGCAGTTCAGAAAATGTTGCAAAAATGTGTTCGAAGCAAAACATAATGGTAACCGTTCGAGATTGAGTCCAAGGCAGTGATGAGTGGTACTTGAATTCTGATTGTTCAACACGTGTGATAGGTAGAAAGGATTGGTTTATCAAAATCAATCAAGTCACGAAGAATAAGGTGAAATTCACGGATGACGCCACTTTAGCAGCTGACGGGGTCGGTGATGCTTTGATCATGAGAAGGGATGCTGGTCACTCCTTGATCAAAGATGTGTTATACATTCCAGGAATCAAATGTAATCTCTTAAGCATTGGCCTGCTGCTTGGGAAGAATTACATGATTCTCATGGAAAATAAGATTTTGTGCATTTTAGACTGAAACGGGTTTTAGTCCTTAAAGCATCCATGACTGCCAATAGGACTTTCAAGATAGAGTTAAAAGTGATAGAGTATATGTGTCTTGCTATATTGACAAGTCGTGATGAGTGGTTGTGGCACTTTCGTCTTGGAAATCTCAACTTTCGATATCTCGACGCGTTCCAAAGGAATGGTATGGTAATTGGGTTGCCAAAAATTAATGTTCCAACAGAGATATGTGAAGAGTGTGTGCAACGGAAGTTGCAGCTTATTTTTTCAAAGTGATCTTAAGGATGTTATATTTAACTCTCTTTTTAGTTCTAAGCTTGTAAATGATTCCAAGATGCTTGTTGAGTTCAAAATATTATAGGTCACCTCATGGATTTTCATAAATTTCAAAAGATCATAACTTGTTCAATATTTGGAATTTTTGAGTGATATAAGTTTCACAATATTCTTTAGGGAGTACACTTCAAGCTATAATCAATGATAAAAGCTCAATTTTTAAGAAAGACGTTGTTTGGAATCAAAACATTATAGGTCATTTTTGAAGGAAAAACTTAGAATTTTTCTAAGTATAAAAGTCAACGCGTTTTTCCTGATTTTGACCAAGCATAACTTCTAGCTCAAGCATCCAAATGAATTATTTCTTGGAACATTATAAAGGATGTTATGTGATCTTTCCAATGCATCAAGAATCAAGTCCTAAGGCTTCCTAAATCATGCACACCATGAGTTCAAAGTCAGCTACTTGAAACTGCATTTTTACTCCAAGTCAGATTTTGAAATCCATAATCCAACTTCTAAACACAAAATTATCACGCATTTTTTATTTAAACATGTTTAACAAAGTTACCAAAGTTGAGTGAAGGATCAAAACATAGGAATTGGCTGAGTTTTTATGCACATGGAGTCACACGTTTTCCACTTTCGGGCTCCATCTAATTTCCCTCCAAACTTCAATTTTCCTCTCAATTCTTTTCACCATTCACTTCCCTATAAATAGAGGTCCTCACTCCTCCCATTTTCTCAAGCTTGGACAACCAAAATCACCCTGCCAAACTCTCTCCATAACTCACTTTTCTGAGTTTTTGAATTCATTTTTTCTCCACTTTTCAATCCAATTTCTTTGTTGATTATTTATCCTTGAACTTCACTGAAGCTAACAGTAGAAGAACCAAGCCTTGAGATGTCCTAAATCGTGCTAGCCAAGTCCAATTGCAGAGCAAATTCATCTGACTTCGTTCAGGTAGTTTAAGGCACCAAATCTTCTAACTTAAATTATTGGAATGGTCTATGATGTTCATTGATGCTTGCTATCAACTCAATTTTGGTGAATCAATGCATTTGATTTCAAAATTTTCAAAAACTCTCTGATTTTTTCAAATCGACTACGTTGTGATTTATATAAAATTTTCGTGAGCATATTATTGTACCCCAATTTTTGCCCCTAAGATTCCTCTATCATATCATATCAACTCGATCATAACAAGATCACATTAGGATTGGTTCTTCCTCTTTTTTCCTATCTTTAAGTTTGCTCTTGAGGAATCTCCAAGCACCTTGGTTGTGTATTTTGTATATGTGTTGTTGACTAACTTCTAATCAAAATACAAAAAATATTTGTCTTTGTCTTTGTATATTTTTGTTTTGTAGGTACCAAGTCGAAGCATCTGACAAATAAGGATTTCTGGTATTATTTTCCTAAAATCTCTATTTGCAAAGAAAAAAGAATTAAAAATTTTCATTTTTTTTCACTGATGCAATCGATTGCACATAGTGTATTTTGCGTCATTTTAGAAAAAAAATACACTGTGCAATCGATTTGCACTGTAGTGCAATCGATTGCACATCGTGAAAATTAAAAAAAAATCAGCATTTTAAACTTGTCAAATTTTGGCTCCAATTTTCCTTCACTTTTGAAAGATGTATCATTAATTCAAATTTTAGTGCCAATCTTTTATTTTTAAAAAGAATTATCATTAATTCAAATTTTGGCTCTAATATTTGAAAGAATTATCATTAATTCAAATTTTGGCTCTAATTTTTGAAAGAGTTATCATTAATTCAAATTTTGGCTCCAAGAATCAATTACTAAATTACCACTAATCCCAATCCTAAAACTCTATAAATAGAGCTCTCATTTCATTCAAATTTCAAGCTTTTGATAGCCAAATCCACCTTGCTAAAAAATCTCTCAATTCTCTCCATCTACCAAATTCACTCAAAGCTCCATTTTCAAAAAGTTAGTAAGCTTTGCATTGAAGCTTACTAATCTTTGAGCTAAACCTTCATCCAAACACTTTTTCTCCATCAATTATCTACATCCAAGCTTGGTCAATTGATTCTTGTGGTTGAATTGAAGCAAATTCTTGAAGTTGTTTTGATAATTCTCTAGATCTACCTTTGGTAAGTTGGATAATTCATCTTTCACAATGTGATCTCTTGGTGATCTTTGGGATTGATTCTTTGAG